GAAACATGAATCCTCAGGAAGTTGTGCAGTGCTGAAAGGTCTTCTTGTAATCACCATCATAGGACATCTGCCTTTAGCTCTCTCCCATCATGTAAGCTCAGCCTAGGATCGGCATCAGCAAACACTCCCACTACAAGCCTGATTTCAGCTCTTATCTAATATGTGGCAACTGAGACAAACAGATTCCAGGTTTATGTGACCCAGTAAAGAAGTGACCAATGAATTGCATATTTTAACAATCCGCAATACATGACCTTGTGAAATTCCCATGTGAAAGAGACCATCGGTCTTCTATGAAGTTCTTCAATGTTAAAAAGCAGAGATGGAGAGTATATACAATATGTTGTTGCTCACAAAAGTTTTTCTTTTTAATCTTAATGCAGAGAATGCATTAGAGTAAAAAACCTTCTGCTGTCTGTGCCTCCCCCCACCCTTCCTCCCCAGACACTTACCTGACACCACCCTTGATCCAGGGCTGTGCCCACCGGCAGCCCCACTTTGTTCTCTTCCTAGATATACAAGCTTTACTGAGAGCAGTTGAAGCCATTGGCTCCAGTTACGGTCAGTCAAATCCTGTGAGGAGGGAGCAGGGGTGGGGAGAAGCCATGTGGTGTGTGTCTATGGATACACACAGCAAGGATCAGGAGTGCACCTGCACAAGTGGCCCCATAGCAAGCAGCTTGCTATGGGGGAACTCTGAGAAGAGGAGGAGCGGACAGTGTTGGTGGGGGGACCGCAGAAAAGAGGGGGTTCGGGGCCATTTTATGCAATACAATTGCACAGAACAGGCGAATATAATATATTTATTTTAATTTAACGATGCAAACAATTGGCACGGTCATTTAATAAATTTTATTTACAGTAAAGTTTAGACTGTAAGCAAATTAAATCTTTGTTTTCCAACATTCGTGGTCTTTAGAAGTGAAAAGAGTTCTAATCCCCCATAACCCTATATCCCGATTTATTGTTCTTTCTGAGCCAGGAAGGCCATTACATATAGAGAAAGTTTCTTTTAGCTTAGATGTAGAAGGTTTATATGGGCTATGTGGAAAAAAAAATCCAGCTCCTAAAACACAAATTGGCTGTAAGCTTCAGTTATCCTCAGAGATTTCCTAACCAAAACCATGAATAGATAGAGAATTCTGTTCTTCATCACATTTCTTCCTCCACCCCTTTCGTGTCTGCTAATCCACATGGAGACTAGAGAAGCCAGTAAACATGTTTCTCTAGTCAGTGGGAATATATTGTGTAGTAAGGCATGAAATAGAGAAAATTCAGGGGATGGTGTGATTTCGTCCTACTGTTTTACAGCTTGGGACATGCACAGTTTTTCTTTAGCACTACCATATACAAGCAATCGTTCAAGCAATTGTGTGATGGAAATTTCTGTATTTGTTTTTACTGTGGATTTGCATTTACATTGATTTTCTCATGAGATGTGCAGCTGGATGGCTCCTTGACTAATCTGAGCCATAGTTTAACCAGACCTTAGCTTGAAAACAGTCTAAAAAATCATGTATGGCAAGCTTTTACAAAATGTTTATAAAGATTGCAGCAAGCTTTGAGTGAAGATGTTAATACCCTTAGAGCTGAAGTTGTGTTTAGACATTTTTGTGCAAATACAGCACCAGTGAAATAACTTACTGCTAATGAAGTGTTTCCTATGTCCTGCTGGTTGCTGCTTACCATAGATAATCTTCCCTTTGCTGGCGCTGGATACTCTGCACAGTGAGGATCTTCTGGCAATGCAAGGTTTACCATTACTGGCTGCAACTGTGAAAAATCAGCGTTGTTCACTCTTCGCAGAACAAAAACTCATGGTCTTGTTTCTCAGAATCAGAAGCTGTGTGATTGGAGGAGGTGTATCCTGCCATTTATCTCCCCCCTTCTTCATTCACTGATATCTTTGCTTTCTGGGAAATAATAAAGAGTTTTATGAATGGGGGAGAGTGAGTGGCACTGCTGCTTCTCAGTCGCTGATCTTAACCCGTACAGCACAGGACAGTCACTGCTGTGGGAAGTATCTGGTATCAATGGAGGGAAGAATTCTACAGTTAGCAGCAGCCAGCAGGACACAAGAAAAAAAAATTAGAAGTAAGGTATTTCCATGGTGCTAACTAAACTTCAGCTTTAAAACCTAACACCAGGTTTACTATGACTTTAAATTGTTCCTTTGGACCAAGGTAGTCTAAACTGACTATTTTCTTCACTAACACACGTGTCCATTATGAGCGCTGTATAAATGCATCTAGCATCACTACATACAGTATACAACACTGTTCTGGTAGCGGTATGGTGACTTCCCATTCAATTTACAAAACAAAATCGAGTAACACTAAGCAATGCTTAGCCATTTAGAGGTAGCTTTGTATTTTTTGAATGAATACAAAGCTTCTTCCAAGTGCCTGAGGTAGAGAGAAGGATGGATGAGGTTGCTTTCTCCACCTCAGCCAATCAAAGGGAGTCTTGTATACATTCACAATAATCTTAGGCTTCTTATGAATGGCTTTTTAAATTGATTTTGTTTCAGGAGCTGGACTGGAAGTCCCTGTCCTGCTGCTCGAACACAGCTCTGTATACTGTATGTAGTTGATGTGACATACAGTTTTTACAGTGCTCCCAGCGGGGGTATCTGTTAGCACAGGAAATTGTTTGCTTGGTCCAGATTGGTCCAAATTAATTATTTAACCTGTGGCCTTTGAAGTAACACATACACTATATTGCCAAAAGTATAAGGACACCCCTCCAAATCCTTGGATTCAGGTGCTCCAATCACTTCCATGGCCACAGTTGTATAAAATGTGAATTCAAGCATAGTACCGTGATAGGTTGCAACCTGTGCAATAGGTCCATCTGTGAAATTTCCTTGCTACTAAAATATTCCTTGGTTAACTGTTAGTGGTATTATAACAAAGTGGAAACTGGGAACAACAACAACTCAGCCACGAAGTGATAGGCCAAGTAAAAGGACAGAACGGGGTCAGCACATGCTGTAGTGCACAGTTCACAGAAGTCGTTGACTGTCTGCAGAGGCAATAGAGATAAATACCTCTAAAATTCATGTGGCCTTCAGATTAGCACAACAACAGTGCGTAGAGAGCTTCATGGAATGGGTTTTCATGGCCAGCAGCTGCATCCAAGCTGGACATCACCAAGTGCAATACAAAGCATCGGCTGCAATGGTGTAAAGCATGCTGCCACTGGACCCTAGAGCAGTGGAGACGTGTTTTCTGGAGTGACGAATCATTCTTCTGTCTGGCAATCCTATGGACGTGTCTGGATTCGGCAGTTGCCAGAACGGTACTTGCTTGACTGCATTGTGTAAAGTTTGGTGGGGGGGGGGGGGGGAATTATGGTTTGGGCTTGTTTTTTATTTTTGGGCTTGGCCCCTTAGTTCCAGTGAAGGGAACTCTTAAGGCATTAGCATATCAAGACATTTTGGACAATTTCATGCTCCGAACTTTGTGGGAACAGTTTGGGGATGGCCCCCTCCTGTTCCAATATGACTGCACACCAATGCACAAAGCAAGGTCCATAAAGACAGGGATGAGCGAGTTTGGGGTGGAGGAATTTGACTGGCCTGCACAGAGTCCTGACCTCAACACAACAGAACACCTTTAGGATGAATTATAGTGGAGACTGCGAGCCAGGCCTTCTCATCTAACATTGGTGCCCGACCTCACAAATGCGCTTCTGGAAGAATGGTCAAACATTCCCATAGACACACTCCTAAACCTTGTTGGACAGTCTTCCCAGAAGAGTTGAAAGCTGTTATAGCTGCAAAGGGCGGGCCAACTCAATTATGAACCCTACAGACTAAGACTGGGATGCCATTAAAGTTCATGTGTGTGTAAAGGTAGGCATCCCAATACTTTTGGTAATATAGTGTATATGAAGGCAACAGGGTAGGTTTTAACGCCCACACACCACACATGCATCACTGGACAGCCAATGTTTCTGTGCTGAGAATGCACTTACAGCACAGAGGCCAAGCTGCAGCTTTTGGTCCCTAATAACGATCGGTAGCTAGCAGGACCGGCTTCCAATCATGTGACCACTGTGACAAACAGTACAGTGACAGTGGTCACATGATTGCTGGTCCTTTCCGCCCCCTGGCGTTCAAAACATTTTTAAACTGAGTGGGTGGGAAGAAGCTAAAGTGACAAGAAACCTGGAGTTAGGCTTTTAAGTGGTGGTAAACCCTTACATAAATCCAGTGAAGTGACTGACCTCAGGTGATACAGACATAAAACAAATCCTTCTACATAGGTTGTACCTGTTTATCTGAAATCTTCTCTCCTGTACAGCTGTTCAAAGTGCTAAATGTAAAAAGCTTATCTGAGAGTTCACAAAAAAGGGCGGAGAGCTGAAATGACACTTTGCAGAACTCAGTGAGGAGAGTTTTGAGAGCTGATTGGAGGGAAGAGACACCCCCTCCCCTCCACACAGCACACAGTAATAGAGCTGGGGCTATCTGTCTGCTGAATGTCTCTCCCTTGTCACCATTTTTCTCTTGGTGTCAGGAAAACTTTTCAGAAGTGACTCATTCTGATAGCAGAGGTACAAAGCAGCAGACAGAAATGACATGTAGTGCTCTGAATTGAGACAGTTACACACTATATAGGGATATGATTTGTTCATATTCCATATCTGAAGTTTACAACCACTTTAAAGCATACTTTAGCTGCATTCTGAGAATGTTTGTTTGTAAGGTGATTTGTACACTATACTCGCCATGACTGATACCCGTTTGTGGAGCTGTCATTTAAAACCTTCCTGAGATCACCTGTTTGTAAATTAGTAGGTCATAATCTCTCATCTACTTCCAAACATAGTACCTTTACTTAAAGCAGCCACACATAGAAGTAGTCTTGCCTTGTATTGGCAATGTTTAGTAGGTTCAATAGTAATTTAGAGGATAACAGGCAATGAGTATTTGTGTGAAAGCATTTTGCGTGATCAGTATTTTATTTGCTAATACAATGATTCCTTTTCCACAGTACGAAACCCAGAAGGACAGATTAAACTTTTATTGTAAAGGAGCAGACACTATTTTATTTGAGAGGCTCCATGTCAATAGTGAAGAATTAATGTACATCACTTCAGATCACCTCAATGTGAGTTTTTTCTTTATTTTTTTTATGCATTTGCTGGCATCTTTCCTTTATTGAAGGAAAGATGCCACTTCTTAACAGGACCTAATTCAGTAGATTTTTTTCCAGGTAGGATCCTGCAGGGTTTGTCAAATCATAGATCATACTTTTCCTTTTCCATTGATTACCCCTTTTCCTACTGTTATATCTATATTTATGGCATAATGCATTTCACACTGGTAATGATTTGTAGAACACCGTCATTCAAGGTAGTTGTTAAAGCTAAAAATGAATTACTATGGTGCATATGAATAAAGGCTTTTGCAAGCACATAACACATAAAAAAAGAATGAAGTAGTATTAAAGGATAAATTCATTTTTTTTTTTTTTTTAAATAATAAATGCACATTTTTTTGAAGGTAAAGAATGTATTTATTTTTTTTGGAGTCTGTAAAGCATTGCACCATGCAGGTCTCCAGCAGACTGCCAGTTTAACGTGTACTTGTACCTCGTATAAGCAGACAGTTTAAAACTGACAGGAAGACAGAATGAACTCCACTCTACAGTGCCAGTAGGATTGCCACCTCATCCCTTTAAAACCGAACACATAATAATTACACAGGTTCTGAGGCAAATTTAATGCAGGTAAGGCACTAAGTGAGTTTTATTAGCACCTTAATCAGCCGCAGAACCTTTTTAATTACTATGAATTCAGTTTTAAAGGGATGAGGTGGCAACCCTAAACGCCAGGGTAGTTCATTGAGAACTACAAGCTGACATGTCGGTACTTGTAGTTCATTCAGTCACAGAACTCTGTGACTGAATGACGCGGCCTTGTGGGTGGAGCCATGCACGGCCGCGCTGATTAATAAAACTGACATCTAGTACGGAGAATCTCTCCCCGTAGTGCTGTCACGGGGGGAGAGTCGGGCAGCAGCCGCAACAGTGTTACATGTTCCACTCTAAAATCAGGTGGAACATGTAACAAATTCCCAAAAGGTGAGCTTATCTTTTAAGCCCTCATCAGCAAACTAACATTTCCATTCCGAACCAAAACACTAGCCGCACTTTTTTTTTTTTCTTTCACATCTAAAATGTTTTTCTACAATTTTATAACCACTGCTGCTGTTGCTCTCTCTTTGGTCCCCTAAACTTCTGACCAGATGTATGCACTATGCAGTCACACAGGGCCCCCTGACCTTCTGACATAGGGTAAACATGTAGGAGCAAAGATTGGTCTTTCCACTTTTCAATCTAACGTAGGTTGGTGGAGGACAACTGAATGAAGCTTGTTAATGAACATGTTCTCATGTGGCTGTAGTTACTCTGAGGAGTGCGGACATAGGGGTGACTCCAGGGGAACCCCACAAGGAATTGGAGCCACCCCATAGCAGAAGTTTCCTTGCCAGATTTTTAAGTTCATCTGCTGCAGAACAGATGGCCCTGAGAAACAAATCATGCAGCAGTAAGCACAACATGTAAATGTAGCTAATACTTTATAATTAATGTCTTATGGGTTTAATAAAACTTTAAACAGGCGTCAAGCCTCCTTTACATGAACAGACATGGAAAGCAGCAAAACATAGTTCATTGTATAGCTGCGGCTGGACTGGCAGGTGGTTGTGGACAGCTGTGGTCACCTATCCTGTACAAAGTAGTGTCAGCATCTGTCCACTGATCTTCACAGATATGCACAAATCAAGCAGTTACCTGCGGCTAGGAGCAGATGTCCATACATAGGTGCATCTGTGTGCATCCAGGGGTTGGACATCTGTCCCTAACTGCAGGTAATCAGTCAGTGTGTGAATACATCTGAACAGCTACAACTCCTGTCAGCCTGTCATTTGTACAGGCATTGCTGGCCGCAGCTGCCTGCACTCATCTGTCAGCCTATCTGTAGCAATACACTATCTCTTCCTGCTGTCCATGCCTGATCGTCCTTGTGAAAGAGACTTTTGAGTCAAGTGAAAAGAATATTTTATTTTCAGGTCACACTTGCAATGTTTATAAATTACCTTGTGTTGTTTCTCTAGGAGTTTGCAGGTGAGGGCCTGCGAACTTTAGCCTTGGCTTATAAAGACCTCAGTGAAGATTACTTTAAATGGTGGCTGAAGATCCATCATGACGCCAGCATCGCTTTGGAGAACAGGGAAGAACGGCTAGCAGACACTTATGAACAAATAGAGAGTGATATGATGGTATGCTCCAGCCTAGTTTGTTGAAAGAGAATGCGTTGAAAACTAAAAACCAAAGAGCGAAGGTTCAGGTTAAAGCTATTATTTATCATTTTAAGTTAATGTTGGATTCAATACATCAACGCAAACATCAATTCAACTTTGCTTTATACACTTATTTGGTCTTTAATGCACAAGAGATTTGGTAGAGTCACATACTAGAATGTCCTTCCGAAAGATCTGCTTTATATTTATTTTAGCAGCAAAAGTTTCAGTACCAGTATGTGAATGACTAGTAATTAACAGAGAAGAGCAGTAATGAAAGTAAAATGTGGAAATCATTGTCTTTATGTAGACCGTAAAACCATTTATTCATGTATAACCGTTATCTCAAAAAATATATATATATTGTTGCTGTAATTGCTTGTGTAACTTCATTGTCAGCTGCAGTTTGGCTTCAGTTTGATAGTGTACATAAATCTGCTAGTGCATATAACACTCCCCCAACCCCCCCAGGCTGACAATGCTGCTGCTGCCCCCTGTGCTCCTTCATCCAGAGTGGTGGCATTACTAATACAGGAGGTGTGTTACTGGCTGCATCACCAGGTGAAAACAGAGGGAAAAAAAGAAAACTAATGCAGCCACCAAATCTAATGATTGGTAACCTGCAATATATTACATATTTTGGGTTTAATATCAATTTAAATGCTCCAGTAGTATTTGGAGATGACAGAGAGCCAGGAGATGATGGTGGTAAACTATATGTTGTTGATGCTGAAGAACAGCAGGGATCCCTACTGATCTGTTTCAAATGAAATATTTGGGTGCTTAAAGAGGACCTTTCAGAAACATTATAAGTCTGCATGAGTATGTTCCAGACATGTCACAATATACAGCAGCAATATCATTTTTTTTCACAAAATCGGTACCTTTTATAATATATCTTTTTCCTACTTTCTTTGCTTGACAAAAGTATGAAGGTATTGCTCTGGAATGACCGCCAGCCAGTTTGGTGAAAGCAAAAGAGTTCATTTATTTGGATCACGGACAAACAAAAAGACAGCTTACTTCAGCCAAAGTCTATAAACAGTCCAAAACCTGGTATCAGAAGCTAAACCACAAGCTCACCATTAATCTTCGGTCCCATACAGGGGTTAGGCTCCTCCATAGTAAGGGTGCCAGGCAGGCCACATTGGGGGGTCAGCAGCCCGTGTCTCAGCTTGTCTGAGAACTCCCACTTGCCACACAGTTTGTGAGTCTCTCTCCCATTCACTTCCTTGACACACCTGCTGATTTCCTTCTGCTGCCATTTAAGCCTCCTCACCTGGGATATAACCCATTTCGGACCAAAGTCCTGGTAGTCAGGACCCTAATACAAATTTAACCATCTAGAGAGTACTGCAATGTGTCTGCAATTGTCCCCGTTAATGAGGCCACACCTCAAATATCGGGGAAATGTATCTGCCATCCAGGACAAATTACCGGTGTCCTGTACAGTATACCTGATAAAATTCCTTTTCTTATGTAGTTTTTATTTTGCCTCATAAACGCGTTGGCAGTCCTTAAGAGTTCCAGTGGCCCTAGTTCACACCAGTGCAGTGCATTCCAGTGCAGTCAACAAAAGTAGAACATGTATTTTTTCTGTATGGAACACGTCTGGAACATGGAAAAAATGCATTAAATCGCACCGGAACAAACATGTCCTCAGTTGTCCTAAATCGAGATGAAGAAAAAAAAAGAAGAAAAAAATATACTGGAATGCATCAAAAACACACTAGAATGCATCAAAAACATGCATGCAGAAACTCATCCGGAATGCAGAAATTGTTGTGTGAACCAGCCCTTTATTTAATGACGTTAGAATTGTTTAAATGAGCTGTAAAGGTACCAAAATGTGATTTTAATGAGAATTGTTAGCAGCTTAGACATTATTACATGTTTGGTTGTTAAAGCAGAACTTATTTTAAACTGAAGGCCTGCTTGAGATGCCTAAAATCGCCATAGAAATTTGAGCTTCATGCAATGATAACTGCGATTGCCGAAATCATGTGGCAAGCACAGCACAACGTGCACACTTTTGGGTGCCACTAGCCTTCAACGGCACCCCAAATGTAATGCTATTGTTGTATGACAGGATCACACAGCAATCGTAGGTAAACCGTGCCTTCAGAAAATTGTGTGAAGCTTGTTGCCCGAAAAGGGGCAGGAGCTTTTTTTCAGATGAGATACGCTTCAATGGGCTGCCCTATATGACACACAATAGCATGAAATTCACAATGTCAAAATCATGTAGCTGGAACAAGTATACCCGCTTTGTGACTTTAACATCGCCATTTTGATGTGAACTGGGCGTTAAACACAGAGAGTTGATCATTCTGCACTACCACCATTTAAGGGGCACCTTTAAATAGAAGAGTGGGTGGATGATGTCACAATCTTCACCTTGTACAATCAGAGAACATTTTTTAATACAAGGTGTTTCTGAATAGCGGTGGTGCAGAGCGAGCAATACGCTCTGTACATTGCGCAGAGGGAAACCACTAGACCTGCACCCGGAAGAGCACTGCTATAAGTAGCGTGCACTAATACAGTGATTTACAGCATCCCCAGCAGCCCTCCGAATATTAGATATGGATACTTACATTGATCCAGGCTCCAACAATGTATGTTTTCCCAAAAAAATTTAATTCCCAGGGTTTCACTTTAAAGATAATAGCAAGTGAAAGCACTTTGCATTAAACCAGATATTAATATGCATCTACATTCTAACCTTCACATGCACAAATCTAAAAAAAGAGAATATCTGAAACAGCATAGACATGCCACTGGTACAGTGTTTTACCTTTTCTGAAAAGATACCAACATTAATCTTCTAAAGTAAGTGACATTGTAAACTTATTTGATATTTTAGAATGTCTCTTTCCTAACGAAATGCCATTTTTTCTTGTGTTAAAATGTGGTCATCATTGAGTTTTCTGTTATAGCTACTAGGTGCTACAGCAATAGAAGACAAGCTGCAAGAAGGAGTGACGGATACTATTGCTGGTCTTTTGTTGGCCAACATAAAGCTGTGGATCCTGACTGGAGACAAGCAGGGTAATTCATAATGAGGGTGTAAAGGCATAAGATTTTTTTTACCTTAATGCATTCTCTGCATTAAGGTAAAAAAAGTCCATGATCAGCCTTCCACAAAATGGATGAGGATATTGCTAAACATCCAAATATACATATAATACATATATATATATACATTATACATTTATTAGATATACCTTCACACTTTTGCTGATATTTAGACAAAGTTTAGAAAACAGATGTGCTTTTACAGATTTTTGATATTTTCTGGATAAATGAAGAATATTTAAGAAAAAAAAAATAAAACAGATGTGGTGACATGCTGAGAGCAGAATTCCTTCCATGAGCCCATAATGCCTTATATAACTGGTAATACTGCATGTTTGCGTGCTATGCATTTTAAAAGTATGTCATTTATTAGACATTATGACAGCAAAGACAAATGAGCAATGAGCTGAAATCACAGCTTGCACCTTAAAATTGAAGACTGCATCTAGAAGCAACACATTTAGGATACTTATTATGTCCTGCATACTTTGCAACATATATTTGTAATTTATTTGTATATCTATGTCCTTAAATAATACCACTAAAAATGAATAGCTGAGTTTTGTGTGGAAGGTAGGAGACTTTGATTAGAAAAATTATTTAGACTTCTGGATAATTTCAAGGTCCCTTTTCTTTGCTGCCTGTCAGGGTTTAATTTCCCCATGAAGTAGGTCTGTGATGTCCCCCCAGCAATTTATATTAACCACTTGCCCTCCAGAGGATTTACCAGTCTTCCTGACCAGGTCATTTTTTGCGTTACGGTGATGCGTTACTTTAACCACTTCCAGTCCGGACACTTTTACCCCCTTCCTGTCCAGGCCAATTTTCAGCTTTCAGCGCTATCACACTTTGAATGACAATTGCGCGTTCATGCAACACTGTACCCATATGAATTTTTTTAGCATTTTTTGAGACCGATAAAGCTTTATTTTTGTGGTATTTATTCACCACTGGGATTTTTATTTTTTTTGCTATGTAAATGAAAAAGTCCAAAAAAAATTTTAAAAAGTGTTTTTCTTATTAAAATTTTGCAAATAAATAATATTTCTTCATAAATCTTGGCCAAAATTATTCCATTATCTTTTCAGTAAAAAAAAAAAAAACCCCAAATTAGTTTATAACCAAACATTATAATTTTTAAACATTTCTTTTTACATTTTAAATTTATTTTTTTATATTGTTATTTATTTCTTTATTTATTTTACATACTATCACCCTAGCAGTACAGTGTCACCATGGTGACACTTTACTACTTGTGGGGGGTGATGTTTTTTCTTTTTTTTACACTGATTGCTTTTACACCCATAAAGGCTGTAAAAGCAATCATTTCTCCTTCTATCTGGCTGCATTCTTGCAGCCATTGAGAAATACTGTGTGAGCTGTGATTGGTCACAACTTGTCACATGGTACAAGGCTGTTGTGAATAGCCTTGTACCATGTGACCTTTGTGATCATTCACAGATTTCACACGTAGTAAGCAATGATGTCAGAAATGACATCTTGCTTACTACTCTGCATGTGATCACTGATTGGCCAATGAGCGATCACATGATCGGGACCTCGCATGTCCGACGATCGGTGTTCCACTGTGTCCGGAGGACACACCTGGCACCGGATTGCGGTGCTGCGCGCTCTCAGGGAGCGCGCACAAGCAGGGGGCAGGGAGGCCATTTATAAACGGCCACCCGGCCTTGCACTGCCACCGTCCGGCCGTTTATATACAACGGCCGGACGGGAGGTGGTTAACTGACAATTGCACGGTCATGTAATGCTGAAACCCAAAAGAAATTTACTTCCCTTTTTTCCCACGAATAGAGCTTTCTTTCGGTGGTATTTGATGTCCTGTGTGTTTTTTATTTTTTGCGCTGTAAAAAAAAAAAAGCCCAACAGCTTTGAGGGAAAAAAAAAAACAATATTTTTGACTTTTTGTTATTAAATATGTCCAGTAAAACAAATAAAAAAAAATCATAAGTTTAGGCCAAAATGTATTCTGCTACATGTCTTTGCTAAAAAAAAAAAAAATCCCAATATGTGTAAATTAATTGGTATATGTGAAAGTTATAGTGTTTAGAAATGGCAGTATATATATTGGGATTTTTTTTTAAATTTTTACTAGTAATCGCAGCGATCAGTGACTTATAGCAGGACTCCGGCGGGCATTCTGACGCTGGGGGGAACTGACTTGATGTCGCTTGCATCCCTGTGACACCAATACAGTGATCAGTGCTAATAAAAAAGTACTGACACTGTACTAATGGCACTGGGCAGGAAGGGGTTAACATGGAGGGCAATCAAAGGGTTAACTGTGTGCCGTTTTACATGCAAACAGTGTGCAGGAGCTGACAAGGGAGAGAACTGTATTGTTTACAAACAGTTCTCCCCCAATTGGAGATGCTCGGCAATCGCCAGGACCCGGTGATTGACAGTCGAGGCTGTGAATGGCGGCATGGATAGGGCGCGCGTGCCTCCCGTGCACCCCCTACCTGGAACTGAAAAATCACATATATATATATATATATATATACATACGTGCTAAATCACGTGTGTGTATATATTTGTGCCGCGCTGTAGCAGTACTTGTGCTATAGGGCAGATAGGAATATGTACTGTCTCTGCTGCACTGAAATTCCAAGCCGAGTTATCAGCCCTTCTCAGTTCACTTCTGTCGACTACAAAACACCCTTTATGTTATGGAGACGAGGAAATAGGGTATTGTTCCGTAGTCCAGTAGGGCTGATGACAACAGTGCTTGGGATTTCAGTGCATTAGAGGTATTGTCAGCTCACTACAGAAAATTAGGAGCTCACTGGGTTCTTTTAACTTAACTACTTGCTCTCCGGAAGCTTTACCCCCTCTTAATGACCAGGCCATTTTGTGCTGTTCAACACTGCGCTATTTCAACTGGTATTTGCGTGGTTGTGCAATGCTGTACACAAACAAAATTTATGTTCTTTTTTTTTCACACAAATAGAGCTTTGTTTCACTGGTATTTGATCACAGTTGTGGTTTTTTACTTTTTGCGCTATAAACAAAAAAAGACTGAAAATGTTGAAAAAAAAATATATTTTTCACTTTTGGTTATACAAAATATACAATAAACTCAAAGTTAGTCATAAATTTAGGCCAAAATGTATTCTGCTACATGTTTTTGGTAAAAAAAAAATCCCAATACATGTATATTAATTGGTTTGTGTGAAAGTTATAGCGTCTACAAACTATGGTATATATTGGAATTTCCACAGCTTTTACTTTCTGACTGCCTATCACATTTCTTTCTTGAGGTGCTAAAGTACCAGGGCAGTACAACCCCCCCCCTCCCCTCCCAAATGACCCCTTATTGGAAAGTAGACACACCAAGGATTTTGCAGAGAGGCATGTTGAGTCCATGGAACATTTTATTTTTTGCCACAAATTTTTCAAAAATGACTTTTTTTTTTTTTTTTACACAAAGTTGTCACTTAAATTATATCGCTCATGCATCCCACGGGTATACAGTTGCAAGAAAAAGTAAGTGAACCCCTTGGGATTATGTGGAGTTTTGCATGAATTGGGCATAAAATGTGCTCTGAACGTCATCTAAGTCACAACAATAGAAGAACACAGTCTGCTGAACATAATACTACACAAACATTAGATGTTACCATGGTTTAATTGCACATAACATGTAAACATTCACAGTGCAGGGAGGAAAAAGTATGTGAGGCCCTAGCTTAATGACTTCTCCCAGAGCTAATTGGAGCCAGGAGTGAGCCAACCTTGACTCCAATCAGTGTGATGATATTGGATGTGTTGCTGACAGCTGTCCTGCCCTTAAAAAACACACACCTGTTTTGGGTTTACTGGTTTCAAGAAGCACTGTCTGATGTGAACCATGCCTCGCAGAAAAGAGCTCTCAGAAGATCTACGATCAAGAATTGTTGACTTGCATAAAGCTGGAAAGGGTTACAAAAGTATCTCCAAAAGCCTTGATGTTCATGTGTCCACGGTAAGACAGACTGTCTAGAAATGGAGAAAGTTTAGCACTGTTGCTACTCTCCCTAGGCGTGGTCGTCCTGTAAAAATGACTGCAAGAGCACAGCGCAGAATGCTGCATGAGGTAAAGAAGAATCCCAGAGTGTCATCTAAAGACCTACAGAAATCTCTGGCACATGCTAACATTTTTTTTGACACATCTACAATAAGGAAAACATTAAACAAGAATGGAGTACATGGGAGGACACCACGGAGGAAGCCATTGCTGTCCAAAAAGAATATTGCAGCACATTTGAAGTTTGCAAAAGAGCACCTGGATGTTCCTCAGCACTACTGGCAAAATATACTGTGGACAGATGAAACCAAAATTGAGTTGTTTGGGAAGAACACACAACACTATGTGTGGAGAAAAAAAGGCACAGCACACCAACATCAAAACCTCATCCCCACTGTAAAACATGGCGGAGAGAGCATCATGGTTTAGGGCTGCTTTGCTGCCTCAGGGCCTGGACGGATTGTTGTCATTGATGGGAAAATGAATTCCAGAGTTTATCAAGACATTTTGCACGAAAACCTACGACCATCTGTCCGCCAACTGAAGCTCCGCAGAGGATGGGTGATGCAACAGGACAATGACCCAAAGCATACAAGTAATCCAACAAAACAATGGCTGCAACAGCACAGAATACGCCTTCTGGAGAGTGAGTCAGAGTCCTGACCTCAACCCGATTGAAATGCTGTGGCATGACCTTAAGAGAGCGATTCACACCAGACATCCCAAGAATATTGCTACACTGAAACAGTTTTGTGAAGAGGAGTGGTCCAAAATTATTCCAGATCGTTGTGCAGGTTTGATCTGCAACTACAGGAAACGTTTGGTTGAGGTTATTGCTGCCAAAGGAGGGTCAACCAGTTATTAAGTCCAAAGGTTCACATACTTTTTCCTCCCTGCACTGTGAATGTTTACATGTTATGTGCAATTAAACCATGGCAACATCTAATGTTTGTGTAGTATTATGTTCAGCAGACTGTGTTCTTCTATTGTTGTGACTTAGATGACGTTCAGAGCACATTTTATGCCCAATTCATGCAAAACATCACGTAATCCCAAGGGGTTCACATACTTTTTCTTGCAACTGTATGTGGAAAAACACATTCTTCTACTTCTCACAAGTATGGGGATATCACATGTGAGAGACTGTTTTAGCAGCCTAGCTACATACAGGCTCCCAAAGTCCAATGACCACCTCCAGGCTTTCAAAGGGCATGTTTCCTCATATCACTTCCCCACTACCTATCACAGTTTCAGAGGCTCTAAAATAACAGGATAGTACAACCCCCCCCCCCCCCCCTCAAAATGACCCCTTTTTGGAAAGTAGACACCCCAAGTAATTTGATAAGAGGCATGGTGAGTATTTTACAGATATCATTTTTGTCACAGGCTTTTGAAAAAGAAAAAATACATATTTGTTTTCTTTCTTCGTTTTCCAAAAACGTGGAAACAAATGATATCTGCAAAATACTCACTTCACCTCTTAGCAAATACCTTGGAGTGTCTACTTTCCAAAAAGGGGTCATTTGGAGGGGTTGCTTCTACTATCCTGTCATTTCAGGGCCAACATTAGAAGCTTAGGCCACACATCACCACTCTCAAAGACCAAGCCCTTTCTGACACTTTTTGTTCACATGAAAAAAACTGTTTTTTTGCTAGAAAATTACTTTGAACCCCCAAACATTATATATTTTTTTTTAAAGCAGAGGCCCTAGAAAATAAAATGGTGGGTGTTGAAATATTTTACATCGCAAAGTATTTTTCAAATGCAAGTCTTTTGGGAAAGACTTGCATTTACTTTTTAGAATTGTAATGCACAAAAAATGCACAAAAACACAATCTATTGCCAAATTGTTTGATAAGATATAAAAGATGATGTTACGCCGGGTAAATAGATACCAAACATGACATGCTTTAAAATTGTGCATGCCCGTGCAATGGCGACAAAGTACATACATTTTTAATATCGATAGGTGACGCTTTAAAAACCTTTACAGGTCACCAATTTATATTTACACAGGAGGTCTAATGCTAGAATTACTGCCTTCGATCTGACATTTGCGACGATACCTCAAATGCATTGTGCAACTGCTGTTTCCATACCAGCACGGGGTCAACGCTTGCACAGCAGGTGCTTGTGCAGGGGGGCAAGGGTGCTTTTTTTTGTTATTATGATTTTTTAAATTATTTTTACGCTGTCCCTTTCTCTTTTTTTTTGATAACTTTGATTGCTATCACAGGGAATGTAAATATCCCTTGTGACTGCAATAGGCATTGCCAACTATTCTTTTTTGAGAAATCTGGGGTCTATTAGACTCTAGATATCTCTTCTGCCCGTACATCATCTGATCTCAGCAAGATCGGTGTGACCACATGCTTTCCTAATTTACAAATGGCGCTGCTAAAGTCCGGCGAAACGGAACTGATGAAATGCTCGTAGCTTCTGTTCTCTTAGACCATAAAGATTATTGGAGCCATTCTGGTCTCTGATCAGCTCTATAGTCAGCCAGCGGAACTGCCGGCTGCATTCTCGAATTCCCCTGTGGGAAAACCCAAGAAAACTGTGGAAGGCGGCAGGAAGGGGATGTCCCTTCTTGCTGCTTGTAAAAACGATTCAGCAGCTAATTGGTCACTCGCATTGCTTTTACATGAAAGCCAACCTCCCGCTGAAAAAAAAGATACCAGCATGATGACTGTAGCTGCTGGCATCATCCCAGTATAACTACTCAAACTCCAACGATGTACCAGTACATTGTTGGTCCATGCTGTAACATATATGTAACAGCAGAGAACATGGGCATGTGATGAATTGGGTCTGTGGACCAATATTTCATTCAAAAATTCATTCTTTTTTGTAATGCCCATGTTGTGGGTTAGGCCCAAAAAAGTTTTACATTCAGAAACCGTGATAGGTTTCCATGCCATTGTCTGACAAGAGCTGAAATTGGGTGCATGGCAATCTATTGTTGTGCGTATAAATTGCCTTGACCCACATTCAATTGGTACAAACCTTCCATGAAAAACAGCGGAAGGGCTAAACGCTAGTGCTGGCAGCGAACGGGGCCAATCCTGCTAACACTGTGTTTTGGGGAAACTATACAAAGCAGGCACTAGTATAGTTCTGTTCATGATCATTATAGTGATCCGTACAAACACTATACTAGTAATGGCGGTGCTCAGCAACTTATAGCGTGAGTGCGATAGTGTGCGGCAATCTACCGCTTGCTGACCCTGTTTGGGAGGGGCGCTAACTGACCCTGACGTTATCTGATGTCGCTAATGGTAGTAATACAGTGATCAGTGAAAAATTGTATATACTGACACTGTACTAATGGCACTGGCTGGGTGACAGGGTGATCAAAGGGTTAATAGGGGCGATCAAAGAGTTATATGTGCTAATCTAACGTGTGTGTAACATGTAGTGCTTTTATCAGTGCCGTGTTCTCTCTTCTCTCCCTGGACCAACCAGGGGGGCAGCAGGGGGCACAGGCACGTTCACACCCCCCAAAATAGGAAGCGATGTAAGATTACGTCACTTTGCTCAGAGCTGCTGCTCGCCCACAAAATGCGGGTAAGCGGGCGGCAAGTAGTTAAAAAAAAATATTTTTTTTTTTTCTTCAATATGGTATTTTTTATTTTATTTTTTTATTTTTACTTTTTATTTTTTTTAATACTTTTATCAGAATAGTACTACTGTGGGGGGTGATCAGAGTTTTTTTTTTTTTTACACTTTGCTTTGCAGGAGAAATAAAGATCATTTCTCCTGCAATGCAAAGCTTGCTGTCATGAATCTAAATCATTAATGAACTGTCATGAATGAGTTAGGTTTTTGATAGCTTAAGATAGTGATCTGTGATTGGCTGAAGCTGATCACATGGTATGTTTTGAATGGACTGAAATCGCACCACAGTGCACCAAAAGTAGTGCATGCACTACAATTTTTTTAAATGCACTGCAACTGGAGCACATGGTACTTTTGTACCATGCGATCCAGTGTGGACAAACGCAGTGTGTTTGGAGTGTTGTTAACATTGCACATACACCTTCTGCAGACTGCAAGGCAGTGCATCCTGAATGCAGTGCAGGAAACCCGCACAGAACACAGATTTCCTGCACATCTTTCTATTGTGATTGGGCCCTAACTGTACTTGCAGAAATGTGCTGAATGTGTTTTTGTCCTAATTTTGCCCAGACATATGCTTTAACAACAGGGCTCTGGAATTACGTATATCTTACATATGATGCTTACTAATACTCCTCTATTCATACAAAGTAATAGGTTTTGAGGCAGTTCTTTGTTAACTTAAAAAAATTGAGAAATATTTTCTCACTGACAGAAATACAGCAGTTGAAGATGGTGCTGCTGATTTTAAGCCCAAAAGGTTGGATAGTGCTCTAGCTTTGGCATCTCAGCAAATGGTTGTGTATCAAAGAACTACCTATGTGTAGAAAGTGAAAACCCATAATTTAGACTGGAAGAGCTAATGTTGAAAGATGTGACATGAAGACATCATTATGTGGTGTTCTAAGGCCCTGGACATCATCTATATGCATCTTAGGGTGCATATAGATGGTGTCCAAACAGGGCATGGTTAAATTTAATGGTGCCTGAATGTGATTTTCCTCACTTCCTTACTGGTCATCACTTACACTGGGCTAAGCAATTGTTCCCAGACACGCTTACAACATCACCTCTGCCAACCAGACCACCGTGATCCTACTTATTTTCTCAGTTATCTTTTTGTGCCGGCTTGCACTCATAGGGGAACCGTTTCTGACCATAAGTGAACCATGACCAGGTTCACCTCTTCCATGTGGTCCTGGGCGCAATTTAGAGTGCTCATACTACACAAATGAACAAATGAACCAGGTGAAGGGGGTGAACCAGGTAGGGTTTAAACTGCCAGTGTGAGTGCACTCTTAATCTTTATAGTCTTTGTCTTCCAGTTATTATTATTATTATACAGTATTTATATAGCGCCAACAGTTTGCTCAGCTCTGTACATTATAATGGGAGACAGTACACGAGACAGTACAGTAACAATACAGTACATGAGGGGTTCGAGGGCCCTGCTCCTTGGAGCTTACAATCTAGGAGAGAGGGGAGAGTGGTACAGGAGGAAATAGCTGTGGGGGATGGAGTGGTGGGAAGAGCAGAGGAGATCAGCAATTAGGTGAGGGCGGGGTAGGCTTCTCTAAAGAGATGGGTTTTCAGGGTGCGCCTAAAGGTGAGGAGGGTAGGTGACAGTCTGAGGGATTGGGGTAGTGAGTTCCAGAGGATGGGGGAAGCCCTGGAGAAGTCCTGGAGACAGACATGGGAGGAGGAGACCAGGGAACTGGAAAGTAGGAGGTCTTGTGAGGAGCAGAGAGTGCGTTTTGGGTGGTAGATGGATATCAGGTCGGTGATGTAGTTTGGGGCAGTGTTATGAACAGCTTCGTACGACAATGTTAATATTTTGAATTTTATGCTTTGGGCAATCGGAAGCCAGTGGAGGGATTGTCAGAGGGGGTTGGCGGATATGGAGCGGTAAGGTGGATGAGTCTGGCCGCAGAATTCAGGATAGACTGAAGCGGGGATAGTCTGTGTTGGGGTAGGCCAGCGAGGAGTTGCAGTAGTCAAGTCATGATATGATAAGGGAGTGAATGAGTTGCTTTGTAGTTTCTGCAGTTTATGTATCATTCTCTTTCTTTTATATAGAAATCATTAGAATATTTTTTTTCCTAGAAACTGCAATGAACATTGGTTATTCTTGCCACATGCTCACAGATGACATGAATGATATGTTTGTAATATCTGGTCGCACAGTAACAGAGGTTCGAGAAGAACTAAGGTATCTGGCAGTCCTTTTCATTATGATTTTTAAATCACATGGTCTGTATTACACTAACTAACTTATTTTTTTTCCGTCATCAAGGAAAGCTAAGGAAGCAACATTTGGACAAAGCAGAAGCCTTTTCAATGGCCACCAATTCTCTGAGAAAATGAACGACATAAAGCTTGAATCTGTGTATGAGGAAACTGTAACTAGTGAATATGCCTTAGTCATAAATGGACACAGTCTGGTAAGGGCTGCCATAATCGCTGACAAAAAGCTAAATAGTGTCCTTTTCACCCTGCACTGTGGCAAAAACCCCAACCCCATTGCTTGCTTAAAGTGGTTGCAAACCTCAGAAATGAAATATGAACAAAACATATTTTTCTATAGTGTTTACTTGCCTCTCTCCAAAGCATTTCAAAAAGTGTCATTTCTGTCTGATGTCTGAGTCCTCTGCTATCAGCATGAATCCCTTCTGGCAAGATTTCCTGACACCTAGAGGCTAAAAGGTGAAAGGGGAGGGATCTCCAGAACACAGCCTGTGATTAACAGCCTCAGCATTTTTCGTGTGTGTGTGTTTTTACAAGGATGTACAGGACAAATGGCTGTAAATGACAAATGGCTGTAAAAAAAACAGGTACAACTTATTTAAGAGGGTTTGTTTCACCACTGTATTATCTCCTGAGGCCAGTCACTTCACTGTGTATAGGTAAGGGTTTACAACCACTTTGATGTCTAATGTTAGATGGATGTTATTTCAGAAATGGTTGCTATTATATACAAAGAACCGGTTACCACATTTAACCACCTTTGCTCCCAATTGGAACACTCTCAACATCTACAAAATAGCTCCTGATCATCATTTGATACCTTCTCAAAATATGTGCTTGCTCGCTCTATAACATCTTGCTGGTTGACAACACAGCTTATCCAGGAGAAGAATAGGAGGAGCTGCTGTTCATGGGAGTTGAGCTCTTTTTTTAATGACAGGGACTGTTTAAGTTCTGCTAAGCAAGGACAAAAGCCGCACATACAAACAATAAAAATTGTGTTTTATTACAGAAAGGAGATATTGTCTATGGCGAGAAGTTAGCTAGGTTATGTTGCTATTCGAGGTGTGCTTAGCAGAGTAACAGTACCCAAGACTGCATTTGGGAGATATGACCACACCACAGGGTCATATAGAAAACTCCTCCTGGCCATTCTATGGTCTGTTATTCACCTGAGGTTGGTTGACTTGAAGGGGGTCAGTTCAAACCACATGCAGTCCAGTATGGGTTTTTTTTTATGCATCAAAAACGCATGGACAGTAGGTTACATGGATTTCAATGGCAAAGTTCACACCCTTGCAGTGTGTGATCCTGAGTTTTGTTTAGTGAATAGAGTTAAATTTAACCAATAAACAAACAGGTGGAGTTATCTACGAACTGAGGTCAGTGTGGGACTACAATAAAAAAAAATATAGCTCTATAATGACAGATTAGGTCTACAATTGAAGGAGCCTCTGTATAACTAGTTGAGATGGGGCCAGCCCCGGTACATCTAGCCAACCCAGCCAGATTGACTCAAATTTACGCTGGGCATTCTGGTGGTGATAAGTGAGTTGTTCTCTTAGAAGTAGGATGTTGACATATTCTGGCCATTGTTTACATGTCGGAGAGGAGGATGACATCCAATATCTGGCAATAAGTTTTCAAGCAAGGTATAGTAGGTGAGAATCAATAACATATACTCCTGATTGGTACTGTTCGGCATCTACTGCTCCTAAGAGGCATATGACAGGATCTAGCTGAACAGATGATTGGGAAACTAAGGAGATGGAACGTATAAACTCAGTCCAATATCTAGTGAGCTTTGGACAATGCTAAAGCATATGAATGAAGTCTCTGTGGTGTAGTTTACATTTTGGACATAAGGGTGTGTCTCTCCTGCCCCAGTTATACAATTTCTCTGGAGTATAAACAGTTGAATAAGCCTGTGCTCTTCGGACAAAGCGATTATGGGTACAGATTCTAGCACCATGTCCCATTGCTCACCACCAATCTCCCCTAAGTCTATTGCCTATTGGGCTGTACTTCTAAGGTTAGTATGATTTTGTATAGTGCATAGCAGTGATACATATATCCAGGAAAGTAATCCCATTCTCTTGGTGGCTCGGGCAACCTCCCCCAAAAGAGATAAATCTGACTTATGCAGACTAATGGATTGTTCCTGAGTTTGTAATGCATGACGCAATTGCAGGCATTGAAAGAATTGTCTGTGGGATAATGTAAATTCAGAGCGTAATTGTGCAAAAGATTTGAAGACAGAGTCAAGGAATAGTTGGCCCATAAAATGTATCCCATGCTGTCTCCAGGCCTGAAACCCTTCCAGTTTGGCCAGTTCTGGATATGAAGGATTACTCCATATGGGAGTAGTATCCAGGTATCCTGTGATACCTAAGAAGGACTTAAGAGCACTCCAAACCTTCCGCAATAGGATAGCAGTGGGACAAGTAGGAGGCAAAGTGGGCAATGCTATCTGCAGGTGAGAAATTGCTGAGAGAGAGAGATCGGTCAATGTAAGTAACTTGTTGACAGGATCCGCATTACCCACTATCCTCCAGCCAACCAGCTGCTGAAACTATGCCACTAAAAAATATATTCTAGGGTGTGGAACAGCCAACCCACCCTTGTCTTTCGCATATTGCAGTGTCAAAAGCCAAATTCTAGCCTGCTTTTTTTTCCAAATTAAGCCCCTAAATTGGGAGTCTAGATGGGAAAACTATTTCTTTGGTTTCCAAATAGAAGAATTGTGAACTATATATCGGAGCTGTGGAGCCCAAAACATCTTTTTCAGGTTAACTCTCCCCACCACAGATAGGGAAAGTTTGTACCAACTTGCACATTTCACCTTATGTTCATTCAGCAGGGTAGCCAAATTCAGTGAGAGGTATTGGGCTGGTTACGGAGAAACCACCATCCCCAAATATTTGAAGGAAGAGACAATGGGAATCTGTTGGGCACAATCAGGCAAGGGGGCAGTCAATGGATCTAAAGGCATAAGGGCAGACGTATTCCAGTTGATGGAAAAACCGGAGAAGTTACCAATTTTAGTAATAAGCAACATCAGAGCTAGTGGGGAGGCCATAATGGCCAGTGCAAATAGTAGGGGCGACGGGGCATCCCTGCTGAGTGCCTCTGTACAGGTGAAAAGGTGCGGAACGGCCATTGTTTTTTACGCAGTCTGGCCCTATGAGCGGAGCACAGTGTTCGGACCCAGTTGATAAACTTGTCCCCCAGTCCAAATCTATATAACACCTCCCAGAAGTAGGGCTATTCCACACTATCAACAGCCTTTGCAGTGTCCAAGGAGAGGATAGCCCTACCCCCTGACTTGTCCACTGGCATCTGCAAGTTGAGAAATAAACGTCTAAGATTATTTGACGCCAACCTAGAGGGAATAATCTCTCTGATCTTCCTGATCTCTCTGTATCAAGTTGCCTATGATTTAAGTTGTCGTGCATCTGCTTTGTGTGGGTCCATCAGAGCCTTTTTTTGCATTATTTATTTGCTTATGATTATTAATAATAATAATAATAATAATAATAATAATATTTCAGTTAGCTAAATGTATTGTCTGTATTAAAATGTGTTTGGTACTGAACAGTAGATATGGCGCTGCTTTACAGCTGCGCAAGTTTCCTTTCTTGTAAAAGTAAGAGCTCAAACTGACCTTTAAAGTATTTAATACAAGTCTGATATCTAGTGTACTATGGTTAAAATCTTTCCAGTGGGATTCCAGTACGATGAGAGCTTGTTGTCTTGCCAAAGAAATGTGTTTTGATTAGGGAATGTGTTTCTTGTACTAATACTGGAACACGGGACAGTGAAGAGAACGCCTGTAGTGAACCATTCACCTCATTGTTATGTTTGACCTAATAGACCAAACAATGATAAACTGTTCCACAGGGAAGATCATAGTCAAGTCTAGAGAGCAGGGAAAGTTGATCTGAATTAACTAAGTTATTTTTATTAAGAAAATACATGGTTCTGCTTCAATTATTCCATATGTTAGGTTTAGTTCCACAGTAAAACAGACTTTTTTCTTTTAGTTGTGGGCAGTGCCACATGTAGCCACATTCATAACTTACTTTGATGAGGACTCATAGTTCTATAGTAACTGTATGGTTGCCGAATGTATGGCTTTACTTGTTACTGTGTGTATATACAAGGGTTAGACAAAAAAAAAAAATTGGAAACACTACATGATTTGCAGTTGTGAAAGTGTGGCATGTGTCACGTTGAAAGCAGAAGTGATGTAACATTCTTTTGCTGCTGTGTGATGAGACACCTAGCTAACAGGTGGGATGCCTCAATTTCATCATTCATTGCATGCGCTGCTAGTAATACGGAGTCATGTGAGAGCTTACTGAGCTTCAAAGAGAGAAAATTGTTGGTGTCCGCTTAGCTGGTACCTCTGTTACTGAAGTTGCCAATTTAATTGCCATGTCACAAGGTACAGTATAAAAAGTTATGACAACATATACAGTTTCTGAGAAAACATCATCTGTCAACTGACCGAAAGAGACAAAAGGGCATTTCTCAGGATTGTGACCCAGAGTAAGAAAACAGCTGCTGCAAAAGTGACTGCAGAGCTCAAGCTCAGTCCTGTGTAGTGTTTCCATGTTTTTGGTCCAACCCTTATATGTGTGTGTGTCTGTGTGTCTAGGACTGAATAAGGAGCCTATAGACACAGACCATCAGGAACCCTAAATCCTTCCCATTGACTTGCCATGCCCTTATCCACTTATTACTAGAAATGTTTACCAGGGACACATGCTAAAGCGGAACTAAACGCTCACAATCAACATTAGCTCTTTTTAATCCTTATGTTACCAGTTTTAGTAAATGGGCAGAAAGGTATAGTATTTTTACTTGTTTTAAACTCTATTTTTTACATCTCTTCAGCTGTTTCCTGGTTTCTGGCCTAGGCCAAAGTGATGTCATACATCCCAGGAGTCTTCATAGGCATTTTTTAAATGTTTCATCTTTGTTTATTGGATTTTTGCTGTAACAGGTGTACATAAAAGGGATGAAAAAGGGATAACAGAAGGATCATAAGGTTCAGGCTTAGATCCGCATTGGGTACAATACATTATATCAGTACCCGTAGGCCATACATAATGGTGCATAAGACATAACAAACTACAACGTGGTAATTCTCTGTTAGGTGAATAACAAACAAGTATAACTACCCTACTAAACAGGGCTTGAGGCAGGAAATTGTCCCACAAAATGCATAGCGTGAAAGCTCATGTGTATGCTATTACCATTAACATAGGAAACATCAAAAGTCCTTCACATGGGGAGGGCTTTCAACAATGAGAGCAAGAAGGAAACCTTCGTCAGATACAGCATATATATACAAAGTGAGTGCTCTTGTGTCAGCGGCTATTGCACTGAAGGTAATCACAGTAAACCTTATACAAAGACAAGATACGTAAAGTGCAGCGCTTAAAATGATTAGGAGAGATTGATAACTGATTTTCAAAGATTAAATATAAATAAAAGATATATATATATGATTAAAAGTTCATAAATATGCATGTAATTCAAATGATCTACTTTAGCAGGTTTCCAGGACAGGTGTTAAAGCAGGAACCAATAATAGAATTGCACACTCACCGGATGCGCATATAATTAATATCCACCAGGATTTCTTAGGTATGGCGGAGTGAGTGAGCTTCCTTCTATAGATTGGTCATCCTGCCTTGGAAGATGTATGGTATGGTTGCTAGGTCCAGAGGTCCCCTTAAGGTTGGATGGGTGCTCAGCCTGGTTCCAGGGCTCCCTCCCTCTGGTGGTGGTGGATCACATTAAGGGTATCCTGCAAATTAGTTAGCTCCAGTAGGAACCAAAAAACAGGTGCCCAATAGTGTAGTATATTTATTGAATGAATAGGTGATTATCAAAACAGGGTAGTATAAAGTTTCAAATAGTTAGCAGTTTAAAAAGCACTGATACAGACCCTTAGTTAAAATGGCTGCCGGGCTTCCTTGTGGCTCCGGTGACTGTGACGTCACGCTCTGTTGGTTCCTCCTTAGGCCTTTTGTGCATAGCACATCATCAGAGGGGAGACCAACGGGAACACACATAACAAAAATTTGGTTATAACCAGACAAACATGTGGAAGTCTGAACAAAAGTGTAGTAGCCAGTAAACATGGGTAGAAGAAAAGAAGAGAAAAAAAAGGGGGGAAGAAAGGGGGGGTATAACCCAAGCACTATGAGGAGAAATAAAACTGGATATCCATGAAAAGAGTAATATGACAGATCAGAGATAAGAGGTAGATTTCGAGGAATGTCGGAAGTGATTCCAGACCGACCAGGTATGGACCTTTTTTTTTATATATCTGGCAGAGGGGCTTTTCAAGCAAGAATGCCTGGCCTAAGGTCAGGTGAGTTCCAGGAAGTAAATACTACATTATCTGTCCATACTCAAGTTGGCCATGGCTAGAAATGCTTTTTGTGTTTCTCAAAAAAGTGATTTCTAAAAATAAATAAATAAAGCATGGAGACATGAATGACTGGGTTAGTTTGCTGGGCATATCAAAATGGATTAAATAGTGTTTTTAGTTTGTGGTGCTCAGATACAGTTCAATTCCTGTTTAATATAGATGCTATTTTACTAGAAATTAATATTTATCAGAGGTGCCACGTAACTACAGAAGAAAAATAATCATAGGATGACATGTTAGCAGAGCCTCCATAGAGATCTACACTACCAGATGTACAATGCTAAGACAGTTTTAGAAGAGATGTAACATGATAATGCATTCTACTAAGGGTAGTTTGCTACTAAAGAAGACATTGCAAGATGTGTTTTAGATGATCATTGCTAGTGCAGTTTAAGTATTACTAAACCCTCAACAGAAAAATAAGTCTGTACATGTAGTAAAGCATGCTTGTTTTACTCACTGTGGAACTTAAGGGGTTAATCCTCTACACTGTGTAAAAAGGCTGTTTGATCATGTCTTCTCTGATCCTCCCCTTCTTCCACAGTCCCCAATCCATCTGCTGATAGTACAGAACCCTAGGAAGCACTGCACATGCTCAGTTTGGTGTGTATTGCTAGAAATGTATTATTTTTTTTTTTTTTTGGGGGGGGGGGGGAGAGGGTGCATGTGATCGGCACAGGTCCAGTCAGTTCTGTCCAGACAGGGAGTCAGAGATCATGCAGCCTCATAGGACAGTCAGAGGAGAATGAAAGCCCCTCCTTTAATCTTTAACCAGTGCTCAGCTGGACTCTGATAGAAGTCGCAAGACTGCTACATACTGCTGATGAGAAAAGGTATTTAGCAGTTTATATATACTAAAATAAATGCATTTCCTTGTTTGTGTACTGTGGGAGACCAGATATAGTGAATGCAGGGTCCTGGGTTTAGTAACACTTTAAGGGAACTACTTGTTTCCCAGTTAGGCATCATTACAGAGTTTTGTATTACCAGAGCTGCAGTGTTACAGTTGCTATATTTAAAGGGGAGACTGTTAGTAGGGGCACACTGCAGCATGGCTAAAGTGATCATGGTGAAGATTTGCAATTCTGCAGCACAGGTACAATATTAAGCACTAGAACTGCATTGTTTCCAAAGCTATTAGTTATTGGCAATGTTTCAATGGTAAAAATGCTGTGTTACCATGATGAAGGCATGGCACTGCTAAGTAATCTTGTGGAATTCCTAATTGCTTTTTAAATGCTGAAAATATGTAAAAATATATTTTATTTGCAGGAATTGATTGTGTTGTCCATGTGGAGCTTTAGAAGGACACTTGTTCCTGGGAGGATTGAAGGTGGAGGTAGATTGTGACCTTGTCCGCCCCTTCTCTCCACCTCTTCCAATGAGAGTATGCCTTGTATCCAAACTCATCTCTAGCTGAACTCCATGCTTTTTACTTCAGTGAGCTGTGGACTTGGCCATTCCAGGCCTCCAACTCATTGGAGTAAAGAAAAGGGTGCAAGTTCTGGGTTTTGCTAAAGATGAGTTCGGGGGAAGCCCAAACTCATCTCTACTCAGACATAAAATACAGATAATTATATCCTGGCAAGCAATAATAAAATAAATTGGCAATAAAGATGGTTCCTGGAGTTCAGCTTTAACTGTTGTATGGGCATTGGTGCTGATCCTATCACAGAAGAGGATAGATACTGGTGTATTTACAAACTCCTGAAATTAGTTTTGATAGTTTATCTGTTGGATATACTGTATTTTATAAAGCAAAATGTATTAAATTCAGTGGCAGTAGGGGGTCTTCGAACATAAACCTGTCAAGCTAACAGACATTCTAAAGGTTTACGAGTCAGGTAGACCCGTTAAGGTCCTGATGATACATAAATAAATTATTTGCTTGGTTTTATTGGTCAAATGTAAATACCTTCTGCATTTAGGCACCAGTGATATGCTAAATGTATTTATTTTGCTTCCCTTGCAATTGTTAAAAACTGGTAACATTGTTTTGTTACACATTGTAAGAAAGATTAGGTTTGCTTTACCATTAAGTACATAATAATAGAGGATACTTCTCTTTACTACAGGCACATGCCTTAGAAGCAGACATGGAGAAAGATTTCTTGGAGATCGCATGTATGTGCAAGACTGTGATCTGCTGCAGAGTCACTCCTCTTCAAAAAGCACAAGTGGTGGAACTAGTGAAAAAGTATAAAAAAGCAGTTACCTTGGCCATAGGGGATGGTGCCAATGATATCAGTATGATAAAAAGTAAGCCATTTATTACAGAGGTTGACAATTTTATGTTACTTAAGGCTAAACATTATTGGTATTCTCAAATTTAAATACAAATGTGACTATTTTTCTGTAAACTGGTACTACAAGTATTATTATTATTATACAGGATTTTATATAGCGCCAGTTTGCTCAGTGCTTTACAATATAACGGGAGACAATACAGTTCAATACAAGAGGGAAAGGAGGGCCCTGCTCCTTGGAGCTTATAATCTAGGAGGGAGGGGCTAGTGGTACAAAAGGTAGTAACTGTGGGGGATGGACTGGTTGGAAGAGTAGAAGATTCCATTATTAGCTGAGGGCAGGATAGGCTTTCCTGAAGAGATAGGTTTTCAGAGATCGCCTGAAAGTGAGCAGAGTAGGCGATAGTCTGATAAATTGGGGTAGAGAGTTCCAGAGGATGGGGGAAGCTCTGGAAAAGTCCTGGAGACAAGCATGGGAGGAGACAAGGAAGCTAGAGAGTAGGAGGTCTTGCGAGGAGCGGAAAGTACAGTTTGGGTGATATTTGAAAACAAGATCGGTGATGTAATTTGGGGCAGAGTTATAAATGGCTTTATACGTTATTGTTAATGTTTTGAATTTTATCCATTGGGCAATGGGAAGCCAGTGGAGGGATTGGCAGAGAGGGGTGGCAGATACAGAACGGTTATTAAGGTGGATTAGTCTGGCAGCAGCATTCATGATAGACTGAAGAGGGGATAGCCTGTGATTCAGTAGGCCAATGAGGAGGGAGTTACAATAGTCAAGGCGAGATATAACAAGGGAGTGAATAAGTTGCTTAGTGGTTTCCGAGGTTAGGAACGGGCCTATCTTGGAGATGTTACGGAGGTGAAGTCTACAAGATTTGGACAGTGAATGGATTTGGGACTGAAAGGACAGATGGGAGTCTAGGATTACACCTAGTACCCTGGCATGAGGGGAGGGAATGATTATTGTGTTATTGATCTTGATGGAGAAGTCAGGGGAGGGGGCACGGGCTGGGGGGAATACTAAGAGCTCCCGTTTTGGAAAGATTGAGTTTGAGGAAGTGGAGTGACATTCATGCCGATATGTCGCTTAGTAGGTTAGCAATGCGAGAGGAGACTGAAGGGGTGAGGTGAGAGGTAGAAAGATAGATTTGTGTGTCATCAGCATAGAGATGGTACTTAAAGCTGTGGGGGTTTATCAAGTGACCAAGGGAGGAGGTGTAGATGGAAGAGAAGGGGTCCAAGGACGGAACCTTGAGGGACCCCTACAGAAAGAGGGAGTGAAGAGGAGGAGGCAGCATTATAGGTAACTCTGAAGGAGCGCTGCAATAGGTAGGAGAACCAGGAGAGAGCAGAGTCTCTGAGACCAAGAGAGTGGAGTTTTTTGAGGAGGAGGGGATGGTCAACCATATCAAAAGCTGCAGAGAGGTCAAGTAGTAAGAGTACAGAGTAGTGGCCATTGGTTTTAGCAGTTAGTAGATCATTAGTGAGTTTTAGTAGGGCATTTTCAGTGGAGTGGAGTGAGCGAAAGCCAGACTGTAAGGGGTTAAGAAGGTTGTTGTTATCGGTGAGGTGGGAGCTCAGGCGATTGTACACTAGGGGTTCTAGGAGTTTAGAGGTAAATGGCAGCAGGGAGATTGGTCTTAAGTTATTCAGGTTGGTGGGGTCCAGGGAGGGCTTTTTAAGTATGGGAGTGATGTGTGCATGCTTTAGAGGGGAGGGGAAGGCACCAGTAGAGAGGGAAAGATTGAAGATGTGAGTGAGGAAGCATAGGATGGAAGAAGAGGGTGACCGTAGTAGTTGTGAGGGGACAGGATCCAGGGGGCAAGTAGTGAGACGGGCTTCTGAGAAAACCTTAGTGACCTCTTCGGTAGTAGCAAGGTCAAAAGGGGAAAGTGTTGTGGGGAGGTTTAGTATAAGGTATGCCAAGTGGGATGGGTGGCTGTGCAGCGGCGATGCCCCTACGAATTGCGTCAATCTTGTTTTTGAAATAATTTGCAATCTCGTGAGCAGTGAGTGAGGTACTGGGTGGAGGTGGAAAAAGTAGAGAGTTAAAAGTAGAGAAGAGACGACAAGGACTGGGTGACAAGGTATTAATAAGAGTGACATAGTAGGCTTGTTTGGCAGCATGAAGGGAGGAATTGTATGTTGAGAAAGCAGATTTATATAGGGTGAATGCTTGCTGGGATTTGGTTTTACGCGCCACAATCTCTCCAGCACACGACTATGTCATTTAAGATTTCTGGTGTCGTCAGTCTGCCAAGGTTGTAACGGTCGGGGCCTGATGCTTCGTGTTGTTAGAGGAGCAAGTGAGTCTAATGTGGATGAAAGGGAATTGTTGTAGACAGCAGTGGCCAGGTCGGGGCAGGACAAGGGAGAGATTCTGTCATAGAGGCGGTCAGTTGCAGAATGGAAAGGAGCAGGGTTCAAGTTGTGAAGTTTCTGCGGGTAATTGTTTGCTGCTTGGAGGGTTAGGTGTTTGAAGATGAGGACACTGTGAAGGTGATGAGATTGTGATCAGAGAGAGGAAAGGGGATGTTTGTGAGGTTGTAGGGAGTGCAAAGAGATGAGGTTAAGTTGAAGAGTTGGGATGTAGCCGGGTTGTTGACATTAATAGGGATGTTAAAATCTCCGAGAATGATATCTAATAATGCTTTGTTTGAGCACAGGACAGTCTCAAGTATATTAGAAACTTTTTTAAAGGAACAAAGAACTTTATTAAAGTATAACTAAAGGCACAACCTTTTTTTTTTAAGTTTTGGATAGAGTGGAGAAAGATTAGAACTAGGGCTGCAACTAACAATTCTTTTTAATATCAATTAGTTGGCCGATTTTTGTTTCTATTAATCGATAATTCGGAGAAAATGCTCAATATGCCATTTGTTCTTTTATTTATAAAAAGTTAATGAACAGAATGTTACACTCAAATTGAAGAATAAAAAACTTAAACTTTACATTAACATCACACAACTGTACAAATTATTACAAAGCAGAACAAAAAATACACAACATAGCTAGAAGTAAAAAAAAAAAAAAAAAAAAAGTGTGGTGTGCAATTTAGTTAATATGTAAAGTTAAAAAAAATTGTTCTTGAATCTCTATATACAGTGGCAAATATAAATAACCAGCTATATGATTTAGGGCACAAAATCTAATCCACTCAGAAAAACAGAAACGATGTGTGTATATATATATATACTTATAGACTGGGCTTTTTTTTTTTCAGACAGTAGGTGCAGGAACTCTCCCTTTCCAAGTCATTCCCTTGTCTTCACCCCTTACCTACCTCTGAGCACTGTTCCTTGGTTCCACCCCCAAGTAACACCATTTTAGAGAATACAGAACCAAGTATCATTTTGTGGTGCTGAGTAATTTGTATGGAAAAGGTAATGATAACAAGAGCAGAAAAATAGATTCCCTGAAGCCAGCAACAATAGATCCCCAGTAACAATAGATCCTCTTCAGCAACAATAGTTCCCCTGGCAGCAATAGATCCCCCGGCAATAGAGACCCCACAGCAACAATAGATGCCCCTGGAAACAATAAATGCCCCCAACAACAATAGATCTCCTCAGCTGTCGGCAATATTAGACCCCTCTCTCAACAGGAGATCCATCATATCTACAACTGACCCCCCTGGCAACATAAGACCCACCCCGAGCAACAATAGATCCCCCACCATTCAGCAATATTAGATCCCACTCAACTGTAGATCCATCCTATTAACAATTGACCCTCAGCAACAATAGATCCCCTGCCAGCATCAACAGACCTCCCCAGCACAATAGACCCCCCCCTTGCAATAATATATCCTCCCAGCAGCAAAAGATCCCCAGCAGCCAGCATCCCTTGCCATTACATGCATTCAGTGCTGGAGGTGCCGGAACTGCATACCCCCACATTCCTGCTGAAAAAAAGCCCTGCTTATAGAGGTTGAATCTGGTACATATCAGACTTAGAGATCAAAATATTTAAAGAAATTATGTAAAAGGACTAAAACACTGTTTTGCAGATTTTCAGACAGGACCATTATATAATATTATGCATGACAATGAGTCCCATGTTATAGACTTGGTGCAAGCTACCTGCGCCTGCTGTCATGAACACAATTAGATGCAGCAGCATGCTTTCTGTATCACCTGTCATGATGGGGTTAAAAAACAAAAATTAGCCCTCTATAGTACAAAAACAAATACCTGTAGTTCAGTTGCAGTTAATCACTACTACAAGGGGTTAATTTATACAGTGAAAGCCATTATATAATTCTATATGTATATGTGTGTGTGTTTGTATGTATATATATATACAGGTGAAACTCGAAAAATTAGAATATCGTGCAAAAGTTCATTTATTTCAGTAATGCAACTTAAAAGGTGAAACTAATATATGTGATAGACTCATTACATGCAAAGCAAGATAGTTCAAGTCGTGATTTGTCATAATTGTGATGATTATAGCTTACAGCTCATGAAAACCCCAAATCCACAACCTCAGAAAATTAGAATATTACATGCAATCAATAAAACAAGGATTGTACATAGAACAATATCGGACCTCTGAAAAGTATAAGCATGCATATGTACTCAGTACTTGGTTTGGGCCCCTTTTGCAGCAATTACTGCCTCAATGCGGTGTGGCATGGAAGCTATCAGCCTGTGGCACTGCTGAGGTGTTATGGAAGACCAGGATGCTTCAATAACGGCCTTCAGCTCTTCTGCATTGTTCGGTCTCATGTCTCTCATCTTTCTCTTGGCAATGCCCCATAGATTCTCTATGGAGTTCAGGTCAAGCAAGTTTGGTGGCCAATCAAATAATCCCACGGTCATTGAACCAGGTTTTGGTGCTTTTGGCAGTGTGGGCAGGTGCCAAGTCCTGCTGGAAAATGAAGTCAGCATCCCCATAAAGCTTGTCTGCGGAAGGAAGCATGAAGTGCTCCAAAATCTCCTGGTAGACGGCTGCGTTGACCCTGGACTTAATGAAGCACAGTGGATCAACACCAGCAGATGACAT